TCCCATCACGTCCGGAAGAGCGTTTTAATGAGTAAGGATTGAATCTTCGAATGAAATTAGCTAATTCAATGTTCCTATTTTGTCACTAGACCTTTTTAATGTACAAAGATTCAATCCTCAAAAGAAAATGAGTATTTTGTGTTTAACTTAATCGAGTTACCTATGAAGTCGCGAAGAGTGGTTTAATAACTTAAGATTGAACTGAACTTATTCGATTGAGGTATTTCCAATGAAATCGCTAAGAGTGTTTTAATGACTAAAGATTGAATCTTTGAATGAAAATACCTTAATAAAGGTACTTATTATGTCACTGGACCTTTTTCATGTATAAAGATTGAATCTTCGAGAGAAAATGAGCATTTTGAGTTAAACTTATTCGAGTTCCATTCGACATCCCGAAAAGTGTTTCAGTGAATAAAGATTGAATCTTTGTATGAAAATACCTCAATCAAGGTACCTATTATATCACTAGACCTTTTGAATGTATAAAGATTCAGTCTTTGAAAGAGAATTAGAATTTTGAGTTAAACTTATTCGTGATCTCTTTGACGTCGCTAAGAGTGTTTTAAGAGTTAAACTTATTCGAGTTCCCTATGACGTCTCGAAAAGTGTTTTACTGAGTAAAGATTGAATCATTGAATGAAAATCCTCAATCAAGGTACCATTATGTCACTAGACCATTTTTATGTATAAGGACTAAATCTTAGAAAAAAAATAAGAGTTTTGAGTTTAACTTATTCGAGTTACCAATGAGGTCGCGAAGAGTGGTTTAATGACCCAAGATTGAATATTTGATTGAAAATACCTCAATTAAGGTACCTATTTTGTCACCTGACCTTCTTAATGTATAAAAAAAGAATCTTTGAACAAAAATAAGAATTGAGAGTTAAACTTATTCGAGATCCCTTTGACGTCACGATGAGTGTATTAATGAGTTAAGATTGAATCTTTGAATGAAATTAACTTAATCAAAGTTCCTACTATGCCACTAGACCTTTTTACTGTATAAAGATTGAATCTCTGAAAGAAAATGAGAGTTTTGAGTTTAACTTATTCGGGTTACCAACGAAGTCGCGGAGAGTATTTTAATGACTAAAGATTGAATCTTTGAATGAAAATACCTCAATAAAGGTACCTATTATGTCGCTGGACATTTTTAATGTATAAAGATTCAATCTTCGAAAAAAAATGAGCGTTTTGGGTTAAACTTATTCAAGTTCCATTTGACGTCCCGAAGAGTGTTTTAGTGAATAGAGATTGAATCTTTGAATGAAAATACCGCAATCAAGGTACCTATTATATCACTAGACCTTTTGAATGTATAAGGATTCAATCTTTGAAAGAAAATGAGAGTTTTGTGTTAAACTTATTCGAGTTCCCTATCACGTCCGGAAGAGCGTTTTAATGAGTAAGGATTGAATCTTCGAATGAAATTAGCTAATTCAATGTTCTTATTTTGTCACTAGACCTTTTTAATGTACAAAGATTCAATCCTCAAAAGAAAATGAGTATTTTGTGTTTAACTTAATCGAGTTACCTATGAAGTCGCGAAGAGTGGTTTAATGACTTAAGATTGAACTGAACTTATTCGATTGAGGTATTTCCAATGAAGTCGCTAAGAGTGTTTTAATGACTAAAGATTGAATCTTTGAATGAAAATACCTTAATAAAGGTACTTATTATGTCACTGGACGTTTTTCATGTATAAAGATTGAATCTTCGAGAGAAAATGAGCATTTTGAGTTAAACTTATTCGAGTTCCATTTGAAATCCCGAAGAGTGTTTCAGTGAATAAAGATTGAATCTTTGTATGAAAATACCTCAATCAAGGTACCTATTATATCACTAGACCTTTTGAATGTACAAAGATTCAGCCTTTGAAAGAGAATTAGAGTTTTGAGTTAAACTTATTCGTGATCTCTTTGACGTCGCTAAGAGTGTTTTAATGAATAAAGATTGAATCTTTGAATGAAAATTCCTCAAAAAAGTTACCTATTATGTCAGTAGACCTTTTTACTAAATAAAGATCGAATTTTTGAAAGAAAATGAGAGTTTTGAGTTAAACTTATTTAAGTTCCCTATGACGTCCCGAAAAGTGTTTTACTGAGTAAAGATTGAATGTTCGAATGAAAATCCTCAATCAAGGTACCGTTATGTCACTAGACCATTTTTATGTATAAAGACTAAATCTTAGAAAGAAAATTAGAGTTTTGAGTTTAACTTATTCGAGTTACCTATGAAGTCGCGAAGAGTGGTTTTGTGACCTAAGACCGAATATTTGAATGAAAATACCTCAATTACGGTACCTATTTTGCAACTAGACCTTTTTAATGTATAAAGATTGAATCTTTGAACGAAAATGAGAATTGAGAGTTAAACTTAATCGAGATGCCCTTGACGTCACGATGAGTGTTTTAATGAGTTAAGATTGAATCTCTGAAAGAAATTAACTCAATCAAGGTACCTATTATGCCACTAGACCTTTTTACTGTATAAAGATTGAATCTTTGAAAGAAAATGAGAGTTTTGAGTTTAACTTATTCGAGTTACCAACGAAGTCGCGAAGAGTATTTTAATCACTAAAGATTGAATCTTTGAATGAAAATACCTCAATAAAGGTACCTATTATGTAAGGCCCCAATGCATAATTATTTTTATTAGCATAATTTAATTTTTATTAGACATAATTTATGGAATATTTTATGTAGTAGTTTGTATGGTGAAGTTAATAGTTTTGTGTCAAAACTTATTAAGTTGGTGACAGCCAATGGTAAGAAAATAAATAATAAAAATGATAATATTCCATGTGTATGTGTGTGTGGTTATATGTGTGATACTAGAGAATGGGTGTATACTAAGGTCATTGGTGCTGAAGGTAATAAATGGTGGAAGTGGTGTGATGGTTCTAATATATATTGATATACTTATGTTTTATTTTAAAGTTTGATCAAGTATTTATTTATATATATGGGTAAGTTATTGACCAGGTCAAGTACATATTCCACCCACCCATGTATGTAGATATCTAGTAATACACTTTATTCTAAAAGCTTCCAAAGGAGGCTGTTACTAATTGACACACACACGCATGAGTCATGAAGAGGGGAAAATCACATTTATATCTAAGTGACACGTTGTCTAGAGATTTTCATGGACAAGAAAAAGGAAAAAATAAAAATAAAAATAGAAACAAATGAGGGATTTTTCAGCCGTAGAAGAAGAAAAGACGGAGAAGAAGAGAAAGATAGAAAAGAGGGAAAAGAGAATTTTTCACTAGATTATGGTAAAGGTAGAGGAATTCATATCTTTGTTTACATGGAAGTTGATTTATATATATATTTTTATTATTCTTCACAAGTTGAGCTATTTAATTCATTTTGATGATATTTTAAATTTCATTGTTTCTATCCTTGATTGCATGGTTTTCTATGAAGAAATACAAATTTGGTTGGGTATGTGTAAATTTATATATATTGATAACTTTAATATATATTTAATTATTATTATTATTGTCAAGGATGAGATTGAGTAGTGGGTTTTGCACGCTTTGGGTGAAAAGTTGTATATGAGAGAACAAAATTTTAGTTTCTGTAGCCATTGTATTGAACCCATAAAAATTAGTCAAAAGACGAAATCCATGGGATGAAGGGGCTGGAGAGAGAGTGAGGAGGAAAGAGAAGAAAAGAGCAAGAAAGAGAAGAAGAAAATGTAAAAGGAAGGAGGTGAGATTTCTATTTGGAATTGTGGTTACCAGTATTAAAGATAGAGAATTTTTCTATTGAAGGTTTATTGTGTGGTATTTCCATGGACAATTTGATTAAATGGTTCTACCTACAATTACATCTATTTTATTTATTTTACTTGATTCCAGTACTATAATATTTAAATTTAAATACTTGTTAATTGAAGAAATTGTGGAGCTGAAGTTAATATAATTATTCTTGTTATACTTTCTACTATAATTGTGTGTGGAATTGGGATTTGTTATGAAGTTGATAATTGTCGTTCAATTATATTTAGAAATGAATATGACATAGTTATAATATTGTTCAGGCAAGGAGAAAGAGCAAACAACTTCGACCCTATCAAATGATAAGTGAATAAATTGGGAAGTAGTCAAGGTGAGTGTATTCACTGAAAGTTTTACACTTGAATGTGTTAAATTGAAGTATTGAAGTCATTTATGTGAAATAAAGATGCATAAATATATATATATAAGGTCCATACTCTGGCCTGGAAAGAGAGTACTTTAAATGAGGTCCATACTCTGGCCTAGAAAGAGAGTACCATATTTAAATAAGGTCCATACTCTGGCCTAGAAGGAGAGTACTATAATATATAAGGTCCATACTCTGGCCTAGAAAGAGAGTACTATATTTTAATGCATGTAATATGTTAATGAAGTTTTATTGAAGCTATCAGATAATAGTTGTTTAAAATTACTCTGATGTAGTAGTGTTGCATTCACTGGGCTTTAAGCTCACTCCTTCCATATCTATATTTTTTTCAGGTACAAGGTTGGGTCGCTACTGCCAGGTCTAGAATTTTTGAGTGGGAATGGGAAAAAGAACAATGGAACGTCTTTTGTTTAATATGTAAATATTGTAATAGAATTTAATAGTATAAGTTACCGTTAATCTTTTTTGTTTGTCAGAATTTGCATAACAGGCCTATAGGTAGTTTTTGAAGTGTAAACTGTTAAACAGGTGCTCTGATGTAGGATGACGTTATATTTGAAGGAGGTTAATGCAGATGGTTAGATGCATTCCAATTTATTCAATTTGTTTAATAATGTAAATTGGGTTGGGGTGTGTCAACTTTTGGTATCAGAGCCTAGGTTTTCTAGGTTCTGGAGGTCATAAGAGTCTAGACTGGCAGTGGCAGTAAGAAGTGTGTAGTAGAGTCATTTATTTGACTTAATGTTATACTAACAGACATAAGTGGTGATTCTGTATCATATATATGTTGTTATATTTGAGATTCATTGCAGATAAAAAGAAATGGAAAGGGAAAGTGGTTATCATGGAACTGAGGGTGAAGCCACTTATGTTCCTGTTGAGGCTGAAGTAGAACAACCTATGCAGGGTGGTATGAGAAGAGAACAGGAGTGCTTAACTGGTATGCAGAAAATGGAAATGGCTATAATAGACTTGGCAGAACAAGACAAACTATTTATGGCGAGTCAAATGATGATACAAGAAAGGCTGGAAAGACAACAGAAATGGAAGAAAGGCTCTGAGTATGAGAGGTTTATCAAGTTAACATCCCCAGAATTTTCAGGTACTACCAAACCAGAAGAAACAGAGGGGTGGGTAAGAAGAATGGAATCGATATTTGCAGTGATGGGTGCAGCAGAAGACCAGAAGGTAAACTTAGCTACATTTATGTTCAAAAATGAAGCTAGCTATTGGTGGAACACGACAAAACATTTGTTGCTCACTCCAGGAGAGAAAGAGGTGATATTCTGGAATCCATTTGTTAAAGCTTTTTATGAGAAATATTTCCCTCCAATTTACAGAAAAGAGAAGGAACGGGAGTTTATTCTCCTAAAACAAGATAGAATGTCTGTGGTTGATTATGAAGTTAAGTTTATAGCTTTATCGAGGATCGCACCCAAGTTTGTACAGAATGAAGAAGATAAATGTACAAAATTCCAGGATGGTTTAGAGGCGGCTATTAAGTCTAGAGTTTCAGTGTTTGAGGAAACAGATTATAACAGACTTGTGAATAAAGCCATGATTGCCGAAAGGGATGTGAAAGAATTGCAAGAAAGAAGGGAACAATACAAAAGAAATAGATCTGAGCCGTTACAGTCAAGAGGAGGTGAAGGAATTGCAAGTCAGAAAAGTCAAAGGTCGCGGTATGGAAGGGGAAGGGGTGGTGAATCTCAAGGCCAGACATCAAGTATTGGAAGAGGTCAAGGGCTTTTCGAACAACAATCTGTACAACAAGGTAGTTTTGGAGGACGTGGTACTGGCAGGGGGTGTTTTCAGTGCGGAAGGGAAGGTCACCAGAAGAAGGATTGTCCTATCTTGAAAGTAGAAGAGTGCTATCATTGCCATCAGCCGGGTCATCGGAAGAGAGATTGTCCTATGTTGACAGGAATGACCTCAGTGGGCAGTGTTGCTGGTTCTGTTAGAGGTTTTGCACAGGGGAACTTGTCAAGAGGAGGTAAGGGTGTTACAAGTGGTTCGCAAGCCCAGGGAAGAGTGTTTGCTATGACACTTCAGGATGCTCAAGCAACACCAAAAGTGGTGACAGGTACACTTTCTATTTTGGATAGAAATGTTATTGTGCTTATTGATCCTGGCTCAACCCATTCATTTGTTGCATCATCTATTGCTATGCATTTGGGTAGACCACTTTCATCATTAGATAGTAAATTGTTTATTTCTACACCAAAGGGATAAGTGGTAGTGGTTGCAAATGAATACCGGAATTGTGTTTTACAATTGGGAGATAGACAGTTAAAGGTAAGTTTGATACCGTTGAGTATACCAGATTTTGATATCATTTTGGGTATGAATTGGCTATCTGCGTATCATGCTTCAATAGACTATTTTCGGAAAGAAGTTGTATTTCAGATACCAGGGGAGCCAGAATTTAGATTTGCAGGAGAAAGAAATGTTATTCCAAACTGTCTCATTTCAACTATACAAACCAGGAAGTTATTGAAGAAAGGGTGTCAGGGTTACTTGGCTTATGTGGTTGATACTGAAAATAAAGATATGACACTTGAAAATGTACCAGTGGTAAGGGAATTCACAGATGTGTTTCCAGAAGAATTACCAGGGTTGCCAGTGGACAGGGAGGTAGATTTTACCATTGAGTTGGTACCAGGAACAACTCCAATTTCTATTGCTCCGTATCGAATGGCACCGACAGAATTGAAAGAGTTGAAGATACAGTTGCAAGATTTACTAGATAAAGGCTTCATTCGACCTAGTATTTCACCGTGGGGTGCACCGGTGTTATTTGTTAAGAAGAAGGATGGTACTATGCGGTTGTGTATTGACTACAGATAGTTAAATAAAGTGACCATCAGAAATAAGTATCCATTGCCACGAATTGATGATCTGTTTGATCAGTTGCAAGGGGCAAAGGTGTTTTCTAAGATTGATTTGAGGTCAGGATATCACCAGTTGAAGGTAAAGGATAGTGATATTTCAAAAACTGCTTTTCGAACTCGATATGGTCATTATGAGTTTTTGGTAATGCCTTTTGGGTTAACCAATGCTCCAGCGGTGTTTATGGATTTAATGAATCGAGTATTTCATCGGTACGTTGATTCTTTTGTTATTGTCTTCATCGATGATATTTTGATATATTCTCGTAGTGTGGATGAACATGAAAAGCATTTAAGAATTGTGTTACAGATGTTACGGGAAAAACAACTCTTTGCTAAGTTCAGCAAATGTGAGTTTTAGCTTGATAAAGTTGTCTTTTTGGGGCATGTAGTATCTGGGGATGGTATTTATGTTGACCCATCAAAAGTGGAAGCAGTGGTGAAGTGGGAAAGGCCTACCAATGTGACAGAAGTCAGAAGTTTTCTGGGATTAGCAGGTTATTACCGGAGGTTCATCCAAGGGTTTTCTAGTATCGCATTGCCATTGACAAAGTTGACCCGGAAAGAAGTAAAGTTTGTGTGGGGTGAGGAATGCCAAAGAAGTTTTGAAGAATTGAAGAAAAAGTTAACGTCAGCCCCAGTGTTAACTATTCCGTGTGGTGGGGAAGGTTTTGTGATTTACACTGATGCTTCACATTAGGGTCTAGGATGTGTTTTGATGCAAAATGGTAAAGTAATTGCATATGCTTCTAGACAATTGAAGAATCATGAATTGAATTATCCTACACATGACTTGGAGTTAGCTGCTATTGTTTCTGCTTTAAAATTGTGGAGGCATTATCTGTATGGTGAACTTTGTGAAATATTTACAGATCATCAGAGTTTGAAGTATTTGTTTACACAGAAGGATTTAAATTTGAGACAGAGTCGTTGGATGGAGTTAATCAAAGATTATGATTGTAATATCCACCATCATCCTGGAAAAGCCAATGTAGTAGCAGATGCCTTGAGTAGGAAGTCTTTAGGGAGACTATCTTGTGTACAGTGTGCACGGGTGGCAAATATTATGGAATTGAGACTGATGGGAGTTGAATTGACAGTTACTAACAAAGGAGCATTGTTTGCACATGTTACGGTGAGACCTTTGTTGCTGGATAGAATTAAAGAGCTGCAAATACATGACGTATTCCTGGATAAGAAAAGAAAAGAAGCTCAAGAGGGTATGCAAACTGAATTTATAGTTAGGGATGATGGGATTTTGTATTTTAAAAGTCGAATTTGTGTTCCAAATGATGTTTCCTTGAAGAAAGATATTTTAGATGAAGCCCACAGTTCTATATATGCTATGCATCCGGGGAGTACTAAAATGTATAGGGATTTGAAAGAATACTATTGGTGGAACAATATGAAGCGTGAAATTGCAGAATTTGTAGCAAAGTGTTTGATATGTCAACGAGTGAAAGCTGAACATCAGAAACCAACAGGGTTGTTGCAGCCGTTACCAGTTCCACAGTGGAAATGGGAGCATGTAACCATGGATTTTGTGACGGGACTTCCAAGATCAAAACGAGGACATGACTCTATTTGGGTGATAGTTGATCGATTGACGAAATCAACTCACTTTCTGGCAGTGAAAACTACTTATTCTACAAAGGAATATGCTCGTTTGTATGTTGATGTGCTCATATGTTTGCATGGGGCTCCAGTTTCTATTGTTTGTGACAGGGATCCGAAGTTCACTTCGAGATTTTGGTATAGTTTGCATGAAGCCATGAAAACTTCTATGAAGTTCAGTACAGCTTTTCACCCGCAGACAGATGGGCAGTCAGAACGAACTATTCAGATTTTGGAAGATATGTTGAGAGCTTGTGTGTTGGACTTCAAAGGTAATTGGGATGATTATTTACCGTTGATTGAATTTGCCTATAATAACAGTTATCAGTCTACTATTGGAATGGCACCGTATGAAGCTTTGTATGGGAGAAAATGTAGAACTCCATTGTGTTGGGATGAGGTGGGGGAAAGAAAGTTATTGGGTCCAGAATTGATTGAACTTACAACAGAAAAAGTGAAGATAATTCAGCAGCGTATGAAAGTGGCACAGGATAGACAGAAAAGTTATGTAGATGTGCGAAAAAGAAGAGATTTGGAATTTGAAGTTGGTGATTTTGTTTTTCTTCATATTTCTCCTTGGAAAGGGATTATGAGGTTTGGAAAGAAAGGTAAGTTAAGTCCCAGATACATTGGACCTTACAAGATTCTGGAACGAATAGGAGCAGTGGCGTATCGGTTGGAATTACCAAAAGAATTATCAAGATTGCATGATGTTTTCCATGTGTCTATGCTTCGGAAGTATATATCGGATCCATCTCATGTTTTAGTTGCAGAACCGATAAAGTTGAAGGAAGATTTGACTTATGTAGAGGAACCGGTACAGATTTTGGATCACCGGGAGCAAGTGCTACAGAATAAAACTATATCACTGGTAAAGGTATTGTGGAGGGGTCATACGATTGAAGAAGCGACTTGGGAAAGTGAAGAAGTTATGTGAATGCAATATCCTCACTTATTTGGTATGTTTCTTGCATTTTAATTTCGAGGACGAAATTGCTTAAGGGGGGAAGAATTGTAAGGCCCCAATACATAATTATTTTTATTAGCATAATTTAATTTTTATTAGACATAATTTATGGAATATTTTATGTAGTAGTTTGTATGGTGAAGTTAATAGTTGGTGTCAAAACTTATTAAGTTGGTGACAGCCAATGGTAAGAAAATAAATAATAAAAATGATAATATTCCATGTGTACGTGTGTGTGGTTATATGTGTGATACTAGAGAATGGGTGTATACTAAGGTCATTGGTGCTGAAGGTAATAAATGGTGGAAGTGGTGTGATGGTTCTAATATATATTGATATACTTATGTTTTATTTTAAAGTTTGACCAAGTATTTATTTATATATATGGGTAAGTTATTGACCAGGTCAAGTACATATTCCACCCACCCATGTATGTAGATATCTAGTAATACACTTTATTCTAAAAGCTTCCAAAGGAGGCTGTTACTAATTGACACACACACGCATGAGTCATGAAGAGGGGAAAATCACATTTATATCTAAGTGACACGTTGTCTAGAGATTTGCATGGACAAGAAAAAGAAAAAAAGAAAAATAAAAATGGAAACAAAGGAGGGATTTTTCAGCCGTAGAAGAAGAAAAGACGGAGAAGAAGAGGAAGATAGAAAAGAGGGAAAAGAGAATTTTTCACTAGATTATGGTAAAGGTAGAGGAATTCATATCTTTGTTTACATGGAAGTTGATTTATATATATATTTTTATTATTCTTCACAAGTTGAGCTATTTAATTCATTTTGATGATATTTTAAATTTCATTGTTTCTATCCTTGATTGCGTGGTTTTCTATGAAGAAATACAAATTTGGTTGGGTATGTGTAAATTTATATATATTGATAACTTTAATATATATTTAATTATTATTATTATTGTCAAGGATGAGATTGAGTAGTGGGTTTTGCAAGCTTTGGGTGAAAAGTTGTATATGAGAGAACAAAATTTTAGTTTCTGTAGCCATTGTATTGAACCCATAAAAATTAGTCAAAAGACGAAATCCATGGGATGAAGGGGCTGGAGAGAGAGTGAGGAGGAAAGAGAAGAAAAGAGCAAGAAAGAGAAGAAGAAAATGTAAAAGGAAGGAGGTGAGATTTCTATTTGGAATTGTGGTTACCAGTATTAAAGATAGAGAATTTTTCTATTGAAGGTTTATTGTGTGGTATTTCCATGGACAATTTGATTAAATGGTTCTACCTACAATTACATCTATTTTATTTATTTTACTTGATTCCAGTACTATAATATTTAAATTTAAATACTTGTTAGTTGAAGAAATTGTGGAGCTGAAGTTAATATAATTATTCTTGTTATACTTTCTACTATAATTGTGTGTGGAATTGGGATTTGTTATGAAGTTGATAATTGTCGTTCAATTATATTTAGAAATGAATATGACATAGTTATAATATTGTTCAGGCAAGGAGAAAGAGCAAACAACTTCGACCCTATCAAAGAATAAGTGAATAAATTGGGAAGTAGTCAAGGTGAGTGTATTCACTGAAAGTTTTACACTTGAATGTGTTAAATTGAAGTATTGAAGTCATTTATGTGAAATAAAGATGCATAAATATATATATAAGGTCCATACTCTGGCCTGGAAAGAGAGTACTTTAAATGAGGTCCATACTCTGGCTTGGAAAGAGAGTACCATATTTAAATAAGGTCCATACTCTGGCCTAGAAGGAGAGTACTATAATATATAAGGTCCA